CTCATTTTCGTGAAGGCATTAATCACAGACATGAAGATTTATTAATTACTTCCCACAAGGCCCCACTTTGATATTAGTGCCTTGAGAACTTGGTTTCAATTGTAAAGTTGGGGGACCCCAAGTATTCAAATCATGCTATCTCCTTATTATTCAGGACTGTGATCTGAGCAAACAAGTATGTTCTAATTCCTTGACTGCATGCAGTAGACTCATTGTCCTAGTTTGCTTTCTATTTCTGTGATAAACACTGACCAAAATCAAGAAGAGTTAAAAAACGGTTGATTTTAGCTTATGTGTCTGGATCACAGATCATCATGAAGGTAGGTCAAGGCAGAAGTTCAAGGCAGGAACCTGAAGTCAGAACATGATACAGAGACCATGGAGAGAAACTGCTTCCTGGTTTGCTCCCTATGTTTTTACCATCTTTATTTCTTTTTTTTAATTATTTTATTTTTCTGATATGTATGCTTTCTTTCTTTTTTTTGTTGTTAGAACCAATCTTGTTTCACATGTCAGTCCCAACTCCCTCTCCCTCATCTCCTCCCCCGCCTTCCAAACCAGGTCCCCCAGTCCCCCACCCAATCTCTACTCCAATACCCAGGGATGGTGAAGCCCTCAATGGTGGGTCTCTAGTGAAAGGTTCAGGCATTACGCTGGCCTGCCCTGTTACCTGGCAAGATGCACTCAGGCAACACTCTGGCCAGCCCAGAGTTTTGTGAGAACCACGCAGGTGCAAAGGACCCCTTTAAAGGACTGTCCCCTGCCTGCTTTCGCTCTCTTTTACTCTTGTCCTCCCTCTCCATCTCATCTCTCCTCTCTCTCTCTCTCTCTCTCTCTCTCTCTCTCTCTCTCTCTCTCTCTCTCTCTCTCTCTCTCTCTCAGCTCTGCACAGGTCTCTCATCCCCCTTTACCTCCCTTTCTACCAATAAAACTCCACATGGGGTGGTTGAGTCACGGTTTGTGTCTTGTTACTAGGCAAACATAGACATTTTAACAACTTTGGTTCCCTGACCGGGAACCTAGACATTTTAACAACATCCAGTGACTGTCATTTCATCTAGTGCAGGGCCTAGGCCCTCCCCCAAGAGTCCAGGCTGAGAGAGCCTCCCATATTGTGGCATGGGCACTCAAAGTCTATTTGTATGCCAGGGGATAAATACTACCTAAGGCCCCATGGATTACCTAGGCCTCCTCACTGACACCCACATTCAGGGGGTCTGGGTCAGTCCCATGTTTTCCACACAGCCATCAATCTGGGGTCCAAGAGCCCCACCTTGTTCAGGTCAGCTGTTTCTATGGGTTAACCAGCCCAATCTTAATTCCTTTGCCCACCAGTTTTCTCTTTCTGACACTGGATTCCAGGAGTTCAGTTCAGTGTTTGTCTGTGGTTATCTGTCTCTGCTTTCATCAGTCACCGGATGAAGGTTCTGTTTCCTAGACTCTCTGGCATTAGGATTCTATGCTGGCACTCCCCTGATTCATGTCTAAAATCCATAAATGAGTGAGTACATACCATGTTTCTCTTTTTGTGACTGGGCTACCTCACTGAGGATGGTTTCTTCTAGTGCCATCCATTTGCCTGCAAATTTCAAGGTTCCATTGTTGTTTTTTTTTTCTTCTGTTGAATAGTACTCCATTGTGTAAATGTACCACATTTTCTCTTCTTACAGCATCCAGGATCACCTGCTCAGGGGTTGGACCATGTTGGGAACCTTTAGTCTTTAGACCAAAGCACAAGTACTGGCCTCAGTAAGTTCCATTTACTAGGTCTCCGTAGGTTTCCTTTTCTCAGCCTAAAGCCATTGCTCAGGTGACCCCCTGCAGTCAAGCAATGCACCAAAGATAACCCATCACTTAATGCTTCCTGCCTATAACAACACCCTGCATTCCTTTTCCCCCTCCCTCGTTGTCCTGCATTCCTCTGCCCCAACCCCTTACCTCATTCTCCTACTTAGGCAGGTGGGAATTTTTCAATAAACAGAGATTGATCAGCCAGTTTGTCTTGCTCCCATTCTCTGTGTCTCTTGTCCTTCATTTGTGTTCCCCCTAGAATTACCCCAGTTGACTGTATCCTGTGGGACAGGACAGTATGGATCACAGTGAGCTGGACCCTCCCCTATCAAGCATTAATCAAGAACATGCCGCCACAATCTTGCCTACAGGCCAATCTGATGGAGGCATTCCCTCAGCTGTGGTTGCCTTTTCCCAGATGGCAGCAGCTTATGTTGAGTTGAAAACAACAACAGCAAACATAACTCATCAGAGCACTCACCAAAGAGTAAGACATTGCTCTCTAAAGACTGAATAAGTCTACTTGCACTCATGCAATTTTTAGCTGAATTTGTTTGTCTTGATAGTGATGACTAAATAGTGGTTCTCAAATGTGTTCCATCTCACTCTCACAAAATATTGGTTTCTGTGCCCCAAGTATGGTCTGTACCTCAGAATATCTTCTACTTGAGCTATGTGAAGCCTATTTAGATGAAAATTATAGAAGACACACTGTAGGGCATGTGTTAGGCACTGTACTTTTACTAAGAATTCTAGCAGGAAATTAGACATCCTTCCCAGCGATGACCTTAAGATGTGTGTTTGGATATGTATCTTTTAGCTACTGACATCTTCCTATACTTACACTTACATAGGTTTGGTTCTTCAGCTGTTATGTGTTTCTGTGGTTTCCTTTCCATACACTTAAAGTAGACACAGTAAGTTATTTCTACCTGCAAAGAAAAAATGTAGTTGGCTGTTTTACTCTTTTGGCTCTTTGCTCTTTTAGGGGCCCATTACCCAGCTCCCAAATAAATATACATGGAGACTTATTAATTATGAAAGCCTGACCTCAGCTTGGTTTGTTTCTAGCCAGGTTTTCTGAACTTAAATTATTCCATCTAACTTTTGCCTCTGGGCTTTTATCTTTTTCTATTCCATATACTGTTCTTTACTTCTTATTTCATGGCTTGCTCTGTAGCCGGGCTAGCCCCTATGTCATCCTTTCCTCCTTTGCTTGCTCCTAAGTCTTTTCCCAGATTTTTTCCTCCTGTTTTTTCTCTCTGCCTGCCATCCCTGCCTATCCTTTCTCCTGTCTTGCTATTGGCCATTCAGTCTTTATTAGACCAATCAGGTGCTTTAGACAAAGTAACACAGCTTCACAGAATTAAACAAAAGCAACACAAAAGAATGCAACACATCTATGCATCATTAAATAAATATTCCACAGAATAAACAGATATAACACATCCTAAACTAATATTGGACAACAAGAGAACCTTAACTGATGCATTATTTTGAATTTCCTACAAGGGAGTTATAGCACAAAGTGCTCACAAATTTACTTGATTACTGTAGGCTTTTCTTTCAAAAGACCTTCTCTTTAAAACAGTGTTCTGCCCCCATATAATTTGGGAAAGTACTTGATTAAGGTAATTAATTTAACAGTGATGTGAATTTTCTAAAAGCTACATACTGAATATTGGATTTGAAGCCCAATTTCTAAGAGTTATAGCTATTCCTTTCTTATGTGCTCATAGAATTAGGGATACTGAGTAGTGTTACACACAATTAAATGTGAATAAATGAAGCCATGGTTCTCTGTTTTAGGGTCTGTGTAAGGAAAGGAAACCAGTTTCCCTTAAAAGATACAGCATGACTTGTACTCAGGGACAAAACTACTCACACAGGAATATCATTCCGCAAATGTAAGGAAAAAATAAAACCTAAGTTTTATTAGTTAAACTTACAAAAAAACTATAACATTATCATCCAAACATATGGAACATTATTGAACTGTAGGGAAGTAATGAGATAAATGTATTGGAATAACAGCAGAGATTGGTAAAAGCTAAACTCAGTCACTTGTTAGTTCTGTCACTTTGAATAAGATCATTTACCTTAAATCTAATCGTAATTCCATCCAATAGGGAAATTACTTTTTCTTTTGTTTTGGGGTTAGAACAAATTGAAAGGCTAAACATTATAAGAAATACCATTCCTAAAGGTATTTCTACAGTCCAAACACTGTGGTAAGCCCTCTAAGTGCATTTCTTTATTTAATTTTATAAACAGTTTTTTCCTGAGATGGTTGTTACTCTTTTTGTTTTCCTTTTTGCAAATACGGACACCTAGGTTCAAGAACACTAAAAATGTTGTGCCAAAGAGATAAATTAGCATACAAACCTTGACTGTCTGACTACAGGGTCTACATATTTCAAGCACAAAATATTTAACCATTTTCTCCATAATGATACCTTCATCTCCTTTAGCTAGTTATCAAGAGAAAAATATGTTGCTAATTCCACTCACATTGGAAAGAAAAAAGTTATTGTGTATAGTTGTCATTGCTTCTTAGTCAAGCTAGCCATATTTGGAATAATGGTCTCAGTGGGAGGGAAGACGGTTGAAACACCAAAAGAATGGTGTAAAATGAATAACAGTCACCTCACCACACACACATGAAAAGAGATGAAGTGGTGGAAACTAGGGAGGATTAGTGAAGTAATTCATTTTCAGAAAAGATGTTAACAATAGGGATGTAGTTTGGTAGGAAACTGTCAGTCAATACAAAGAGAGATACTCAAAGCGTGTGGAAATGATGTGGAAATTTATTTGTTTGGATAGAAGACAGAATTTAGCTTAAAGTGTATAAGAATTATAGGTATAGCTAGATACAGTAAATCTCTTGTAACACTAACTTAATCATTTTACAAATTACTATTTTACCATTGAGAAAAGCAATACACATGGAAGCTTAATAATTTCCTAGGTGATGAGGAAATAGAGGAACCACATTAATTTTGCATCAAATTCTATTATCCATAATACTAGTATGTAGTATTAACACACTGTGGGATAGTTTTATTTTATTTTTTACTGTCTTTCATAAAAATTAAAATCATTTATTTCTTCGTTATCAAATTAATGTGCCTCAGCCTGACCTTTAAGACCCTTTATCATCTTACAGTGTCTTGGTCATTTGTTTACTCTTGAAAAATGGCCATCCTGTGATAGCTTCAGCAGCACATACACTAAAATTGAAACAATACAGAGAAGATTAGCATGTCCCCTGCGCAAAAATGGCCACCTCCGTGTAACAGGGAAAACAGAATGCTCTTCTATATAGAATGCCCATTCTCTGCCAATCCATGGCTTTAGATTAAAATTGAATTTAAAATATACCTGTTGTTTCCAAGAAGCCATCTCTGAATTTTTCAATTTACTGTCAATTCTAAATTATTACTTTTCCTCAGAAAATTGAATTTTCCAGTGAATTTTCTCCTTGGTAAACTTACACAATAAGCAATATTGAGTCTATGTGTTACAACACATGTCCACTAAATGAATTGTTTAAATAGAATCAAAGAATGCTGGTATCTGTATAAATTATCCATTTATTTAATGTTGGCCACTGTATAGAATTGATAGTAAAAGGAAAACAATACCACAGTTTTCAATTGTCACCCACCTTTTTAAGAAACACTTTCACTTTAAAATTCCATACTTTCTACAATAAAATATAATCTCAGAGTACTAATATTTTCCTCAAAGAAAGTATCAATAATATTTGAAAGGTTGGGATTCATTTTCTTGCTTGTGAAAATCAGATCATCAGTTCAAGAAACAACAGAACTTAGCTTAGAAATAAAAGTCTATTAATCATGCCTTTTTTCAGCAATATTTTAATTATACAGAGCCCTGCAGAGATTGTTTATTTCATAATTACTGAAAAATGGCAACTATCCCACATAATACCCTTTCCTTTTGAATATGGAAATGCAGTAGCACAAGTGCAGATATTTGTTTGGCAAGTAGACAATGGGGAAGATTTCCATTGGTACTTAGTGGAATGAAGTCAGTTGGTCCTCACTAATTCAGCCAAGGTTCACTCTGCTAATGGCAAAACATGTTTGTCCCTGAAGCTAAACAAACACCGGATTATTCATTTTTCCTTTGGCAAAAGCCATTGTGAAATTGCCCACAGTTCTTGTTTATCATGAATTACTATTGGGGGACATCCTTTAGTTAAAGAAAAATTATTCACAATAATACAGATATAGTTAATCAGTTTAGAATGTGTGCTTGCACATATATATCCAAGCATTCAGTTGACTCTTTGGTTTCTTATATACGGTTTTGGGTGAAATCTTTCTTTTGTGAGTTTTGATTAAGGGAACTAAAGTAAGTGACCTTGCATCTTGGCAGGGGTCTGATAGCATATGACTCATTGAAACTTTAAAGAAGCACAGTAAAGACAGCTCCTAGTTTCTACCCTCACAAACACCATTCTAAAGTTGGTAGGCAGTCCAGTGTTCTCTGTGACTGTGGCAGATACGAAGCATCCGATTATGTACACTATGCAGAAAAGGGACAAGATGTTTGCACTTCATCTGGAATTACAGACTTGGTAATTAAAGGGCATAGAATTTTTTTTTCTGTTCAATGACCTTATCTGACTAAACAAGGTATTAGTGAGAATGATGTACAAGGGAGTTAGTAATGAATCTGAAGGCTTGAGTTCTCCTTTCAGGGCTACAATTATGAGCTATTTGACAAAAGCAATGACATTACTCTTCTCCCTCCTCACCTGATATAAAGGTTGGTTTGAAGTGCAGGTCAAAGTTACTTAGTAATATATTTAGCAAACTAGGCAAACAACATGGAAATGAGATGATTTTTTGACAAAGAAGATCACTAAGACAGAGAGTATAGATGGCTCAATTATCCCTTTATTTCTATTGGGCAACACAAAAGTCCAGAGAAAATATTCTCTACGTGAGGGGACAGTTCATCATTTGCAGTCAGAAATTTCATAGGGAACAACCAATTACTATGAGGCAAGTGAATTAATCCCCCTAATGAAAGTTTATTCAAAATAAAAATTGGAATGTGGACTCAACATAGTTATACCTATAAAACGTTTTTTTTTTTTTTTTGGTTTTATGAGACAGGGTTTCTCTGTATTGTTCTGGAGGCTGTCGGTCCAGCCCGGCCTCGAACTCACAGAGATCCGCATGCCTTTCCCTCCCGAGTGCTGGGATTAAAGGTGTGTGCCACCACCGCCTGGCTAAACTTTTAAGGCAGTGTTCAGTACATAGGAAATAAAACAAACAAACATACCCCCCACAAAAAAATTGTAGATGAGGAAATGTGGTAGAGTCAGACCATCATTAAGCTTCAAACCCTGCATGGCTCCTTAATTGCTATGTTAACTTCAATAATTCACTTAACCTTGTTTATATTAAAATGTGTAACCTGAAAAACAGGGATGAAAATACTTATCCACAAAACAATAGTGAATATACATAAAAGAAAGTTTGACACAAAGATGTAATAAGTTTGTTTCATTCATTGAACAAATGCTTGAAGAACACTTACCATATATCTAGTACTGTTCTTTGTCCGGAAACAATGGTAAACCAAGACATTAAACAGTTTTTGCTTTCATGGATCAAGTATTCTAGCAAGGAAGACAGACAGCACATGAACAGACAAGAACAATCAGCTATAAGCGCAAGTGTTAAGAGAAGCCTTCCCACCAGCCTGGTTCCAGAGCCGCATCAGTCACAAATAAACACACAGGAGGCTATATTAATTATGAAGCTGTTGGCCTTGCTTGTTTCTTACTGGCTAGCTCTGACTTAAGTATTTATCCCATAATTGCTAATCTAAGTATTTCTCTTACCGGAGAGGTTTCCGGGCTTCCTACCCCATGGCATTACATCTTGACTTTCTGTGTTTCTCCTACCCAGAGTCCTCCTGGATTCCTAGTCCCAACTATCATGGTTCCTATTGGCCAGCAGTGCTTTATTGACATATAAACAGGACTTCTCCCATCACACAAGAAAGAAAGAAACAAAGGAAGGAAGGAAGGAAGCAAGCTAGCTAATAGGAAGTGGTTTGGAAAATAGATGCTATTTGCCTTAAGGTTCTCTAGGAAAGCACTTAATCAGAAATTGAGAAGGTTAAAAAAGGAAAGACATAAAAAGAAATAGGTGAAACTCCTACAGGAAGACAGAGCAAGATGACAAATGCTCTAAATGAAGGATGAGTGCTCTAATAAAGAACTTTGAGGGGGCGAAGGAAAAGGAAATGAAAACAGAGAGGTAAGAGAGGCCAGATCATGTTGAGTTATGTGAAATAGCAACTATTACTGTTTTTATTATTGTTAAGCTCCAGGGGGTTTCATTATTGAAGTAATACTTTATCCTATTTACTAAATCCTTTTAAGATCCCACAAAGCAGGAATTCAAGACAATAATAATACCAATAATGGTTGACTTTATAATTTGACCTTTCAAGAATGATTTTCACATAGATGATCTCATTTCCTTCTTCCAACACTTTGTAAGTTAGATAATGACTAGTATCTTTCTTTTTGAGGAGACAGGTGCACAGAAGATTAAACCCCTGTGAACAGTCACATGGAAGGTATGTGGGAAATATACAGAGTGACATCAGACCCTAGCATTGTTTCTTCTATGTCTCTCTGTCTTGTTGTCTGGGTAACAAAAGTGGTGAACTAAAGAGAATGTGATTTAACAAAGAAATAGAGGTCAGTTGTACAGTTACAGATAGAATTCAGGATCTTGATTTCATTCTTTTAATATTATCAACACCTGAATTCACAGAGCTCAGTTGCTATTGAAGAAATAATTATTTGTTCTTAAAACGTGTGAATTTCATGAATAAAATTTAAGTGCAAAACAGTATCTTTGAAGAGTCAGTACAAATTTGAATTTGATGTTGCTTCTCATATGATAAAATTCTTTAAGATGTGAGTATTGCTTACTCTCACCCTCTGGTGTTTTCCATTAGTTCAAGGATAAAGTAGACTTAGGAGGGACAACATCTGAATTTGATTGAACAAAAAGATAATCTTATTTAGGAAGAATGATACATTTCAAACAGAGAGATGCGGGAGCTTGGCGCCAAGCCATTCTATATATAACATTTATTAAGATGTATCAGATGCTGACCAAGTCTATTGTGAAACAGAAGACACAGCACCAGGCTGTTACTTTGTCTTTCACTTTAGATAGTTCAGAGGATGTTTGCTAAGGCAAAAAATATCCAATGATATATGTGTGAATCAAAACATCACATTGCATTACTCAACTTTGTATAATTATGTCAATTCAAAATAAAACATTTAAAAATCCAGTAATACACTGAATTCTAAATATATCATAAATTAAAAACAAAAGAGCCATGAATATCAATGAAGATTTTGTTGTTTTATTTACGCCTTCCTACTGTTCGCACTTGTCATATCAACAATAGCAAGTTATGAGCTATTTTTGTTTGAGACCTCAGGTAAAACAATCTTGTTTTCAGTCATAGTCACATTAATATTCTGTTGATACTCACCAAAGATGCCCAATTTGCTATTGTGAACTACATTCCACTAAGGTAACAGGTCTGCTCATATACCAGTTGTTTAGTGTGGCCAGTAATATTGCATGCTTGATAAGTATTGTAGCATATTACACTATTATAAAATACAAGTTTAGCCCTCAAGAAATTTGCAACTGAGATAGAGAAATCAAGCATGTACAAATAAAATTTGACTAATATACAAGAGATTTATAATGTATATTCATTAATTTTGATCAAATTGAAAGTCCTGTACACCTAATTAATTTTGACTTTATAAAATTCCCCATTTAAAAACATGTCCATCTTAAAAATCTGTAGAAATAATAATAAAAGCATAATTACCACAATATAACACAAGTAAATTCTGAAGGATCTCTCGCATTCAAAACTCAACTGCGTTTTTCTCTACTGAATCTTACCTTCAATACTGCGAAAAAATGGAAGCAATTGACTTTTTGTATATGTAAAAAAATTCGCAAAACTGGTAAATTATTGTTGTCCATTCAACACTGCAAGAAAGGTTTCAAAATTCACTCTCATTTGATACAATTAGAAATGACAGTTGAGTATCACTCAGACTTTACTATGACCATGTATATATGGGAGGAAATGGTATTTTTATTACTTTGCTTATCTATAATTATATTGTAAATGAAATTATTCTCATCATTTACTGTTTACCTTATGTTTTCTCAGTCTATAAAACACTGTTATTTGCATTTTGGTATTATTTCCT